TGGTCCTTCGCTGTTTCCACGGCTGCCCCACAGATCAGAATTAAGCACGCCACAGGCCAGACTGCCCATCTCTACTCCATCTCATTTAGCTTTTTAGAAGTGCAGGTGCAGGGCTGCAGGACCCCTTGCTTGTTTTCCTTTAAAAGCACTGCACCCATTGCCATCAGCCTGAATGTGATGACCTGGGGCAAGATACAGAGGCCACATAGCCAGCTAATAGTTCAAACTCCCCTTTATTGCTCCAACTTTCCCAAATGTTGCCACATTTATGGCAAGTCCCGGAGCAAAGCGCTCACATCCACCTTCAGCCTCTGACTGCAAGTAGTCCAGCAAAATGTTGTTAGTACAACAGCTTCAGGGCAAGAAGTCTAGTGAGGCAAAGAAACAAAGCAGCAAGAAGGTAAGAAGTCCACACAAAATGGCCGCTCCCCACAGTATCTCCTTAAGTCTCAGTCTTCAGGTACGCCTTGTGAAGAAGGGTGGGGCACTCTCCTCCAAAGTTATCAAATCAGCCTGCACTGCTCCTGCCTTTTCTCCACTCTCTGTGCTTGGGATCAGGAATGGGTGGTCCTTGCTCATCGCCTGAGCTCTCTCGCTCAACTTCACTGTCTACCTTCTCTTCCTCCCTCTCTCAATCGTCCTGTCCTCGTTCTTCCCTGCTGGCAAGCCATCCCTGACCCAAAAGACCCAGGGCTGCCTCATCCTTCTCCTTCCTGCGTTTCCCCTCGACCTTGTTGGCCCCAGCTCCAGCTTGTCTTCCTCTGCAGACTCAGGCTCCAATGGGGCCATGAACTGAATGACAAAGGGGCCATTGGGATCTGCAGACAAGCACCTAAGCTTTTAGAATGCAGCCTGGCATCCCATAGCACATTTAATTGGCTGAGTGGGTTTGGGTTTTCCCTTCCTATTTGTCTAGCAAGTTGGTATTGTCAGCCAGTACAACACTACATTTTAAAGTGTTCATGCAGCACATTGTTTATTAGTTTCATAAACACAACAGAGGCCCTTTGCTGTCCAAAATGGAGGACCCAGAACTGGAAGCTTCCTAAGGAGAATTGAAATACGTTTTCCATTCATCCCCTGCTTTGATCCTCACTTGGTAGTACACCTCCCCTAAATCGGACTTGGTGAAGATTTTTCCCTTCGCCATATGAGTTATCATGTTTTTTATGAGGGGGAGTAGATAAATGTTTTCCACACACACCACGTTGAGCCCATGATAGTCCACACATAGACAAAGAGATCCATCCTTCATTTCCCTAAAAAGTACTGAGGCAGCCATCCTCGGTCTGGCCGGTTGGGTGAATCCACACTTCAGGTTCTTGTCTCATGGAATACAGTTTAGGTTTGGATAGTTTGACCCTCAGTAGGATTACAATGGAACAGTCAGTTGGCTGGTGAGGTAAGAGTGCGTCTGATTCCTTCTCACTGAATGCATCCCAGTACTCTTTGGGGATCTGAGGGTCATTCTGGGGCTGATCTTTGGCAGCTACTTCCACGTCCCTTTTCAGTTTCTCCTACTGCAGCTTTGGGATAGATTTTTGATTACCTTTTTCCTCCCCCCTTCACAGCTGGCTTGCCAGATCTTTGGCAGACCCTCGTCCAGTTCACAAATGGTTTCCATTTCTGAAGAGAAGCCAATCCTAATACAAGGGCCTTTCCATTCCAGGGCTACCATGAAACTCAGGGTCTCTGTGTATGCATCCATCCTCAAGGATTAAACCTCCAGTTCAATGAGGATGGTCACTGGGTTGACTGGGTGACTTACCAAGGGATCATCTTATAGTCCGACTCACTTTCCACTGGGCTGCTGATCAGGTCAGTTGGAGTACTCCCACCTTCGTTGGGTGATGGGGTGAACTCTGTGACTTCTACTCCCTTTAGGGCAGTTTCAAGTGTTTGCTGTTGTGGTTTTGCTGGTTTTTGGGCAAGACCCCAAGTTGCCTTCTGGATTAGGTGTGCAGTTTGGCAGTCAACAGCTCAGTGCCTCTCATTCACATACTTGAAGCAGCCAGAGAACCCTCCTTCCCATTCCTGAAGCAGCCAGTGAAGCCATGGCATGGGCACTAGTTTTGGGGCCTCTTTCTTTTTAGGTGGGGATCATCCACACCTCGGCCGGTATTTGGATCGAGCCAGGTTGATTTCCACTTCCTCTGCTAGCACAAACAAGCCATTGGTGGTGGTAGGGGGAAATGCTCTAGAACCCGCATTTCTTGAAAACATCTGATCAGGATGTCTTCTGGCCAGTTGGCAGGCCAGGTCATGAAACTTCTGGGTGTACCCCCCCCCCCGCCCCCCGCACCCTTAGCTGATGGCATTTATGCGATCACTAGCTTTGCGATTGGCTAGAGGGTGTTCAAAGCACTTCTGAAGTGGAGCCATGAAGTGGTCAAAGTTTCTCAGCTCTGGGGCATCATAGTTGTGGAGGGTGACCATCCATTCAGCTGTTACCCCTGTAACGCCATGGTCACACACCGCACCTTAGTCCCTTCAGTGGCTATTTCTGGACTGTTTCATGTATGTCCAAACTTGTGCCAGGAAAAACCCCAATTGCTTGGGGTCTCCATTGAATTTTACTCCCAGGGATAGTGTCTTGCATCCTCTCAATTCTTGTGGTGCTACTCCTGCAGCTGATGCAGGCTGGGCTGTGGGGCCAGGTGCTGGGGCGTTTGCAGTTGCCGAGGGTCTCGTTGCTGCTGCCATTGGGGTGGCAGAGGTAGTTGCCCCTCGCTTGCTGGGATTGGAGTTGGCTGGTCAGCAGGATGTGCCTCCGCGGTTGGGCTTCTCGAGCTTTGAGTACCAAAAGCCCCCATCCCCAAGAACGTGCTCCATCGTCCAGTTCTCTCACTCCAGTTCGCCGGCACTTGATTCTTCTTTCAGTTCCTCCAGCTCCACTCGGGTCTCTTGCCACCAGCTGCCATGGTTCCCACAGGTGAATGTCATTCCTGTGGGTTTCTCTTCCCATTCTTCCTTTTTCCCGACCCCAAGGGACCTTTGGGGTCTTGATGGTTTGTCCTCTCCCAGCCATCCAGATAGATCCAGCCCTCCAGGAAAGGATTTTGAGGATGCTTCCCCCCAGGCTTGATCTTTTCCTGGTTGCTCCCTTGAGCCGATATCATTTGCAACGGTCCCCATGGTGGAGATGGTTTCCTCTCTAGCTTGACAATCTGCATATTTCCCAGGGCGCCTGGCCATGGGATGCTGGTACAAACAGGATCTGGCTGCTCTGGTCCTCATCAACTGTCATTTCTCCCTCCCAATTTCCTATCACAAAGCTTTATTTCCCTTTCATCCTTTCCCCATCTCTTCCCCCTTTCATCCTCCCCTCCCCTTCTTCCTTTCATCCTCCCCCTCCCTTTCTTCTTTTAATGGAAGGATGCCTGTGAGGTGCCAAGCCAAACCAGGCAGAGCTGACGAACTCTATTAGTACTCCAAAAGGTTTTCAACTGTTCTCAGTAACATGTTGAGTATCATCGAGTCTGAGGAGCTGTCCGCTTTGCTAGGTAGACTGGACAGGAAACATAGCTAGATGAGGTAATTGTAGTTTATGGTTCTTTTATGTGAAAGAACAGACAGTTCTCCCACTGTCTCCTTTATAGCCTGTGAAGCTAGGAGTCTCTTTTCAGACCCATTATGCATCTGTTGGCTATGCCCTCTCTCATCTGACCATTCATTATGCAGCACTTCTTTATTCTGTCTCTGAGATTCTTTTCATATATCTTTACAGGAGCCTGTCAAGATGCACTGTATCACCATCAGATTTTCTGGTGTATTAATATGGTTTTCATAATACGATACAGGAGTGACTTTCTTCCATGCAATATGAAGGATGCCTTTGCCATTGATACTCAAATGATATTCCTGTACAGCATTTTTCTGTATTCCTAAAAGATCCCGTTTGCTTTAACTGAGCAACTGGAATGGGACACACATACACTGCCTTGCCACTGGAGGGAAGCATAGTAGGACTTGGGAGATACAAAGAACGGATTTTATAATTGGCTCCTAAAATTCCACTAAACCAAGCGAACATTTATTTGATCAGTTTTTAATGAGTAGTGAAACCTAGTCAAGAAAAGCAAATCATTCGTGAGACTTGGAACGGGAGGAAAAATAATAGAGGGTCCTACATAGTCACATTGTGTTAACAGAGTGTAAAGGCAATTTATCCTAAGTGAATTAGCCTAAAAGGCAAAGGACTACTGAGAAAACTATATGGGCATGTTCATGAAGTCACTAGGAGTTGAGTTTCAATCAACTTCCAATGTCAGCCTGTTGAGTGAGAACAAACAGGAAACACAACCAGATGAACTAATTCTACTTTATTTTAAGGTTACATTAAAAGAATCTGGCAAATCTGAAAGTTCATCTCTCCATCTTCTTAAAAACCAAAGGAACCAGGGAGAGTCTCTTCTGAGCCAACTGTCCACTTACAATCCCGTTGCAGGCTAAATTGCCTTTTATCTGATCATTCCTTTGTCGGTGTCTCATTGCCCTGTGTACCAAGGTCATTCCCACATACCATTATACACATGAGTTAAATAATTTGCAAATCTCTGGAAGTGTTTATGTATTTGCCACCACTAATAACTATTGATATACACTCAGTACGTTCTCTTTGAAAGCTATTTTATCTGTGACTATCAACCCTGTGACCAGAAGTCCAGTAAATCATGTTTCACATAAAAAGTGTTTGTAAGAATTTCATATACTTGGCTACTATACCATTTAGAACTGTGAAGTCCAAAAGCAGCTCTAATCTTCGGTAAATAAAATGTGTAGAGCATGTCCAACAGCAGATGAAAAACATTCTGAACTATAACCTCTGTTGCCAAAGATGCTATTCCCTCTGGAATACACCATTTCTAGATGACAAATTTGGGTCTCTCCTTAGTTCATGTATTCTTCCTGGGACAAAAGGCAGAATAAAAGCTTATCCATAAAACTTCATACTATTGACATGTAACCATCTCTTTCATATTTTTTTCTGATATTTGCAGATGCCAGTGCAGGTGATCGAGTTCAGACCAATAATGTAGCTTCTACATCAGCTTCCAACTCCACCTGAACTGATCTCAAGCAGCAGCTTGTACAGGAACAATCACCAGTAATTTTGAGTCTTACTCAGCAATGCTGGTCACATTTGGAAAGAAAATGTAAAAAGAAGGGGAAAAACTGTTCATTATAGTGTTGGATTTTTAAAAATTGTTGTTCTTATTTAACCTTGTAAAAAACCAGTTTCATTGTATGCTCACTCTGCAGGCTCTTTGGGGCAGGGGAATAAGTGGGGTGGGAAAAGGGAAATGGATTATTAGAACACCAAATTTCTCTTCCCATGACAATCTTCTAATTTCAGATAATTGCTGTTGTGTACTTTAGAATCAGGAATCTTATCTGACGTCCTCCAACAATCACCGCCATCACCAGAAAAAAGGAAAGAAAGAAACCCCTCATTCTGCTGAAGCCTTGTATTTTTAAGTGATGTTTCAATTTTTGGTGTAGTGCACAACTTGAATTTGGTTAGGAGTTTAACAGAAGTTGCTCATCTTGAGTATTATTTGCTGGAATTAAATGTCTTCGTGTTAGGTGAGGAGGAAGAACAAGATGAGGTGCTACAATATGCTGAGTTGCCAAAGGGAATTATGAAGGAGGAGGGAAGTTACAGTGTGAAAAAAAGCTTGAAATAATAAGGAACAAATCACCTTAAATTTCATTTGCCTCTAAAGAATTCTGCAGACATACACTATTGGCTTGAATGTACCTATCCCAATGTTTTAGGAGTTGGATATTTAAAAAATCTGGAAAGCATAGAAGAAAGCATGATTAATCATATCCACCCCTCAGTAGATGGGAGTAGGTGTGCATATCCCTCCATATGCAGAAAATAGAAAATTCCTCCTGCATTCTGTTCACTCATTTTGATTCTAAGTTGATTTCTTTCTTGAAGAACAACACTGGGAAAAAGATGCAAGGATAAAATGTGAATGGACATACTATTTTCATAGCATGCAGTGTTTTTAAGTTGATAGATTTATTTAACAGGGTAGATTTAAATCCTGGTTTATATTTAAATGCACCTTTTTCAGTCTCTTCTTTTCTAACCTTTGCTCCTGTTTCCTATGTCTTTGTTCTGGATAATTAAATTGTGGCCAAAGGTCTCTGTGACATGAAAGCAATATGCCTTGAAAAAGTTTGAGAAAAAATGTCCTTACTAATGCATGAAGCACTAGTGGGTTCTTGTGACTAGCTTCTTCTTTGATTTGATAGCTGTACTTATTTAGCTTTACATTGGATTCACTTTACCTTGCAATATCTTTCATTGGTGAACCTTTTGAAATTAGATTTGGACCAAGGAGAGCAAGTAGTTTATATTCATTTCTTAGGTGTGAAGCCATTAAGAGAAGTAGGGTCTCAAATGGAGAATGGGGCATGGTCAGAAAAGAGTGGCGGCTTCTCTAAAAAAAAATCAGATGACTTTAAAGACCACACAAATCATTACGTAAACTATTTTTAAGAGCCACGAGCTGGGAAGCCATCTTTCAAAAACTAAAGCTGACTAGAAAATAATCCATAATGGATGAGAGGCCTGGAAAGACTGTCTTGCTGCATGGCTTGAGCCCACTGGCATCTTCCATGTTGATTGGTGGCCATCGTAGTCAAAGCTCAGTTTTGTGGTCTGAATTCAGAAATAGGAAATCTTAGGAGGTTTTGTATTATTTTCATTGGTTTAAATAATAGGAGAGAATAATTAAAAGCTTTAACACTTTTTTTAGTGTGTGTGTGTGTGTGTGTGTGTGTGTGTAAAAACCAGGATCCTGACACCCCCACCCCCCAAGGATCATGGCAGAACTGCAAGCAAAATTTTATATAAATCTAGATCCAGGTGTTTCAGTATCATTTTTTGTAAATAAACTGACAAAAGCTCCTCACCAAATTCAAGTATGTACATTAGTTCTTAAACTTTTAAGTTGTATTGCTTTATATGTAAATACGTGGACACAGGAACTGTTATTAATGAACAAATGTTACCATTCAGGGCAGTTAATTTGTTTTAATAATCAGACAAAATGTAGACAAGCTTTTTAAAGCCATATAATTCTAACTATGTACAGTAGATAACTGGCCTGTATTATTGTAACGATAACTTTAGCAATGTATAGTGTATCTATATAGTTTGGAGTGCCTTTGCTTCCATGATTTTTTTTCCTTCCTTTTTGTAACAGATGCCTCATAGGTGCAGATATGCTTTCCTTTTTTCAGCCATTTCATGGTCAGTAGCATCATTAAAAGAAAATGCACCCAAACATCCATGGCTGTGCTCATCCTGATGAATCGATAGCAATGAGTTACGGCTCAGCAGTATCAGGATAGCCACCATTTTCCCCAGTATTCACTTGCTCACTTATTTAAATATATCCCCACTGCAACTGGTTTCATTATGTAGATAACATCTTGGTATCTAAAATGACAGGTTTATCTTTTACAGATTTTTCTTGCCCAATGTGTTCTTCAGTGGGTCTTGTTGGATCACTGCTGCTTAGAGCTTTTGCTTGGCCATGTTGTTCATTCAGAGACAGAATTGGAGATTGTAAAATTAGTAAGCAACTGTAACTGGGGAGGGAAGAACAGGGATCACATGCATACACCTGTATATTTTAGATCTAATAATCTTGCAAGCCTTTTTGGACAGAAAAAAAGTTGTGGTATTAAGTGTCTATTACCATAGATTAGCACCTCCATTCTCATTTACTTGCCAATTTTTTTATGAATGTTATTTTTTGTGCTCGACACAAGGGCCTTGATTTTAAAACTCTGCTCATATATATTCAACTTTTCATATTCTACATGAGGTTTTTTTAATGGCGAAATGCTGAACTTTTTATCAAACCAAAGGTTGCTTTTTTAAAAGCTTTTTGTAATCATCTTCTGTTCATTCCAGTAAGACAGAGGATGCCATTTTTCTGGCGACATAAAGGTCAGTGAAAGTATTTTGTTTCTGACAGTCCACTTGGAATTTAAATTTTATGGTTTGTTTTTAAATGAAGTACCGTATAGTCTCTCAATCTATCCTTAGTCTGCGTTGCAGTTGTGCATAATCCTAAAATGGCATTAATGATATTCTCTGTGTCATTCATTGAAAATCAGAAAAAAGGCACTAGTAATCTTAATTTTGAAGTATGTCCTTTCAAACAATGTCACTGATTTTTTTAAACAGATTATTTTAATGTCATCTAGCTGGTGCTTGAACAAGCTTCCTTCTATGAATAAGCCAAGAAATAGTTGATGTTGGTAATTATTGTTAATTTAAAACAATCCCAAATTAAAAATGTTATCAGCATTTTTCTCCATTAAATATCTTAGCCTCTAGAGATCAAAGCCAGTAATAAAAAGCACAGTTTGTTGTCTAGCCCAGGACTGATATTTTTCAGATGTGCTCATCAGAATTCCTTTTAATTCCTAATATTTCTACAGGAACTAATTCCTTGCTTCATTTTGCAACAAGGCAATAAAAGCAAAATGACTGGTACCTAAAGGGTTAGCTTGAGATATGTTTCTTCCTAGTGTTGTTTGTTCTTGGTTTTTTGGGAAAAAAAACACAAAAAACCATTTATATATATAAATAATATGCTTGCTTGTAAAATTTGCATTTGTTACTATGTTGCTGATCACTTGGGCTTGTACACACAATTAACGTGATCACTTTCATCTTAAAAGCAGAGTTCTAAATATATATATAATGGACTGTGGGTTGTATACAAACTCTTGCATACACACGCAAAGCTGTCTTGACTCAAAGAAGCAAAACATGTATAACGTTACTACTTGAATGCCTCTGTGACTGATTACTTTTTCATTTTAAGTATAAACTTTTTGTGGTATGTATGCTTAATGTTCATTATTTTATCTCCTCCCTTCGGCTCCTTTGTAAATACATTATGTTCTGTGTGACTTGGTTCAGAAATAGTTAACTGGTACTGTAATTTGCATTAAATAAAATGTAGGTTAGCCTGGTCATGAAATTTAAAAATTACAGTGTGTGGTCTTTATTTCAAAATATTTCCTGTCCATTATCTGGACTCTTTGGTGTGGCTTCTTTTTTAGATCTGTCCCTCTTCTCCACTCAGAAGATGGGTTGGAATATAATAATAAAAGGACTTGAAATTGGCATCTTTTCTTTAACTTATATTATGCCTCTGCTGAATAGTTCATCCAGAAGGTGGGCTTAAGGGCTTTTCTAAGCATTTCCTTAGATCAGGTGCTGGTTCTAAGAGGGCACCCTGCGTATGAGACAGAGCTGTTCCTTTAATGTATCAGCACATTATTTATCTTTGAACTGATCTTTGGTCCTTGATAATGTATTATCAAATGTGATGTTTATATGCACAAGCAAAAAACTTAGGTCAGATGACCACTGAAATCTAATCTGTCAATATTTTAAAAAGCTAGATGCACAAATCATGTGACTATTGCTTCAATAAAAAAAAACAATATTGCCAGAGACTCTTCATTTGTTATTGACTATACAAGCACTTGCTACCTGGAGTAAGACAAAATGGAATCGGAACATACAGGAAGTTGACTGAAACAAGCATAAAAGCTTCATTTTCAGATTCCTGCCATCTCTTCAGCTAGCTAAAATGGATTGGAATCAGAAGTAAATCCATCCTTTATTGCTTGCTTGTTTACAATGTTTTCTCTCTTCTCCCACCCTGCTTTTCTATTTCATAGTTGCTTGCTGCCTTTTCTTTATTTTGCTTCTCCTAAAATGATTTCTCTTGTTCTAATTTCTCCTAACTTACTTAGATATGCTGTCTTTTTCTCTTCCCTTCCTTCCATGTTCTTGTTTTCATGTGAGAGACCCTTTTTCCATTTTTTTTTAAGTTTTACATCTTGACTGCAAATGTGTGTGTGTGTATATGTGTGTGCACACACATATTCAATGCTTATGTTTCTATAGCAGAGAAGTATTTTAATGTATAGTAAGGTTGTTTTTTTTAAAGTTATTCCATTTCTACTTTACCCTTCAACTTTTCAGATTGTGATTTTTTTTCAGGAAGAATTCAGTTGTTCTAAATTTTCCATTTTGTGGAATAGTCCTCCAAAATCTTGCCAGTTTTGCTGGCCTTACCCAAGTTAGTCCAATCATCAGGAATAAGTGCTATTTCATCAGTATTGGTAGAGTATCGCTAAACTGGTGACTATCATGCAATTCCAACAGTTTTTTTTGAAATTAGATTATATCATCCAGGGCACTTGCCACACTTCAATTGTGCAATTAATAAATGTATTAATCAAATAAATAAAAATAAGGGGTGATCAGGGCCTAATTTATTAATCTAGTCAGGAGAGCACCTTAAATCGTGTTGAACTAAGTCCTTTCCACACATATCTGACCACTGTTTCATGCTTTCCATTTTGTCCTGTGAATTCTTTGCTGTTATTCACTGTGATACTACCTAATGGTTCATTTCTGCTGTTAAAATTCGCAGATTCCAGTTCTGTGCCAATTTCCTTCTCTCTCTTAATAGCTCCTTGCATTGCTCTCTTAGCAATCCTGACTCTCCACACTGCCCAGACTAGAAGGAACTGTTTTGTTATACTATTTTTACTATAGTAAAATACAAAGGTCAAGTCTGCTGATCCACTTGGCTAAGATGAATCCATTAAACGACAAACTTACTTTGTAGATTGATGGCCCAGTTCTGACTCCATCACTTGTGATTAGGAATCTTAGTCTAAAAGTATATGTATTCGTTATTTGATTCTTTCCATTAAAGTATCTTCTGAAATTACCAATGTGCACACACACACACACCTCTTGATTTCCTTTATTATGATACATTTGATCTATACAATTTATTTTATTATTATTTTAATTTATTTGTATGCATTTAAATGCATATTTCTGAGAAATCCATAGGTTTCACTAGGCTCTGAAAGGGATCCATGCCAAAATGAAATTTTTAACTCCTGTACTGAAGCTGGCACTAATGAAGACTCTTTAGAGATTGCCGCATATGCCAATAACCAAGGAAGATGGTACAATCCTAGCATTAGCATTCACTCCTGGAGCAACTCCTTTAATTTAAAATGTATTTTAGTGAATTGAATGAAACTATAAGGTAAGAACATCAGAATTTTTCTAAACTTTTAAGCAGCTTGCTAATTATCCATTGGATAAAAATATTCTGTTAGAATTGCATGTTCATTTGCTTAAGTTAATAAAATCTTTTCTCTCAAAATCATAGTAAACTGATGGTGCATAGATGCTGCTGCTGCAAAACTAGACTAAAGCAGGATTTACAGTCCTTGGGATCCCAAGGACTGAGGGAAAAAAAGGCTGTGCTAAAGAATATGACAAAGAAAAAAGTCTTATTAGTTACAGTTATCTTCTGCTGCAATCCGATTGATTCTTAACTTTTTAAAAAAAGATATAGTAAAGTACAATATTAATAGTTATACAGTAAAATTGTATGTGTATGTGCGCACGTGTGTAAAAATGATCCATCCTGAATCAGAGCATCCCACTCTTCATTGGTTTCATGAATTATTTTATTGCACTCTGATGTGGAACAAATGGGCAATATAACTAACTATACTACTAGACAAATATATCACCTTATACAAGCTCTTCCACCTGAAATTATGCCTATAAATACACTTGCTACCTATGTTGTGGATATCTGCCGTCTCTTGTCATCTTAACTAGCCTTAAGTGCCAATCCTGGAAAGCTGATGGGTACAATGAAAATATGGGGGTTGTTGTCAGATTTAGAGTATGGAAAATAAGCCATGCTAGTTAACTGATGCTGCAGACACCCAGTGTCCAATTCATGCTCTCACTTCAGAGTGTTTCAAATAAATGTTTGCCCGGTCCCAGTAATGTGATTTGAATTAGTTTTTACCTTCTCACCTCATGGAAATTGTTCTCTTTTGTAAGATCTTAAATTTTGTTATGTCCTATTGAAACACCTTGTATGTGTTTTATTGCCAATTTTAAAGTATAAAACAGAACAAGCAGCATACTATATACGGTATTTAAAGAAATTGTATCTTCCAGTTCCTAAATTCTAGTAATTTTCTAATTACTATAAAATCAATTTTGCTTCCTATTCTCATTTGATGAATATTAGTATCTAAGTGGCAGTGGTCATAAACGTCATGGATCAATGTCCTCATATTTTTTCAAAGTGGTTTAATGACAAGACTGTCCAAAAGTAGTCCTCGGCTACCACAATTGAGCCCAAAATTTCTGTTGCTAAGTGAAACATTTTAAAGTGAGTTGGCCCATTTTGCAACTTTTCTTGCCACAGTTATGTGAATTACTACAGTTGGTAAATTGGTAACATGGTTGTTAAGTGAAACTGGTTTCCAAAGTGACTTTGCTTGTCAGGTCATAAAAGGCAGTTATTACTATCAACTAAAAGTATAAAGTTTGTTATTTATTTCTGATCCCTTCAAAAATTCAGACGCAAATTATTACCTGCCTTTCTACTCAGACTCTTAAGATGGCTCAGGGGGAAAAGTGTATTAAAATTTTAATGTTTCCTCATTTGGTTAACGTTTATGACAAAAATATTTTTTCTTCCCTTATTTGCTCATTCAGCAAGTATATATACAGCTAATACTAGCTGTTATAATGTCCTGTGTAAATATCTCTGCTTATTCAGTAAAAAGAATCCAATCATACAAAATGAGCCTTCAAACAATAGAGAAGCCATTCCCAAATTGTTCCAATTCACTTGAAAGGCTGCCCCAAAACCCAAATAGGGTGAAGATGGAGACAAGATTGATGGGTTTGCCCCAAACCGTGTGAGCGAAACAAACCAACCTCATGCCACCATCCCACAAAGCCCATGATACTACTACTTATCTGAGCATTGTTGGGCATCCTGGCTCCTCTGTCATGTTCTTATCTGCTGGTGACAAAAGGAGACAGTTCCTATCTGCTCACCCTATTTGTGTACTAGTACTGACACCAGAGATTGAAATCATAAAGTGAACCCTCCTCAAATTACCTAATGAAGGGGGAATTTCTTTTAGGATCCAGCTCTTCTAGTCATCATGTCAATCAAGTATGGTCACTAGTGTTGATTCTACCTCTGCATTCAACATATGGAGGCTCCAGCCTCTCCTTGCCAATTTTCCATCAAGGCAGTTGACTTCATTAGTGTTTGCTGTTTATCCTTATCTCCTCAGTTGGTAGGCTGGACTGAGAAGAGGAAAGTGGAAAATAAAGCCCTGGGACCCAATGACACCAACTTAATTACCAGACATCTTACTCTGTTTAAACATAGCCCATACCTCTCCTTGTCCTGTTCTACAAGGAAGTGCCTTTGACTGAACTGATGATAAAACATCATATTCTAAAGCAATTCCCAAAGCAATACTGGTTCTAGTAGATTCCTCACTAGTTGATAAGTCAGTAAAATCCAAAAACAAATGTGCAACAAGTTAGAATATTCATAAATGAAAATATATATCTGCTATTTGAATGGCAGTTTATAATACTTTCTCAGCTTTTCTTTCCAAGAGAAAAATCTGCCGCCATGATGTGCATTCTTCAGAATCATTGATTTGAAGGATCAGTCTAAAATTACCCCTCCTCCCTTTTTTAGGGAAGGTTGTTGAGAAAAGAGACATGCAACAGTGTCAAAGAATCCTGGATAAAGCAGGTTACCCCTTCATTCAGGTTTCAGACCTGGACATGAAATTGAAACAGCATTGGTTATGCTTTCTGATCATCTTTGGAGGGAGAGTGATGGGAGTTGAGAATCACCTTGGGTTGGGGGACACACAAATGCCTGGCTCTGGCCTTTCCCAGCGCCTCCACCGGCATAAGCCCCATGCAGGGGTGGGATTCTACCAGTTTGCACCTATTCGCTAGAACCAGTTGTTAACATTCTAAGCAGTTCAGAGAACCGGTTGGTAGAAGAAATTACTGGCCTAATCCTGTGAGGAAGGCAGGAAGGAAACATCCTGGTGTTGCTTACAGAAACTGTCTCTCCGTTAACCTTTATTACATTCTTGGCAGGACTAGACTTCCTGTCTCAGGAACGTCTCTGGAGTTTTTTTTCTTCCTTTGCTGGTACTTTGCTTGTGTGGAGTGACCATTTAAAGTTACAATGGCACTGAAAAAAGTGACTTATGGCTGTTTTTCACACTTATGACTTGCAGCATCCCCACAATCATGAGAGGCCAGGCAAGGAGATGCATGCCTCAATGTGAGTGATGTTGAGTTGGCCACACCCAGCCAATAACATGACCACCAAGCCATGTCCACCCAGTCACATGACCATCAAGCCACACCCACCACCTAAGCCACACCCACAGAACCGGTTGTTAAAAATTTTGAATCCCACCCCTGGCCCTATGGGCTAGAAGGTAAGGCCGACGGTGGGAAAGGAAAATCCACTCGGCTTGCTGCTCTCAGCCGAAGGACTGCCTTGGTGGAGGAACGACACATGGTGAGGTTTGGCAACATTTTGGCCACAGCTTCAGCTTCTGTGGGGCCTTCCAAGTACGAGGCCTGAGAGAAAATCTCTCCCCTGAGGGCCACCCACTTGCCCATCTGCCGGCCGGGCTGGCCTGGAAGTGGCATGTCCCCTTGTTGCAGGCTGGACGCGGGACCCGAGGTGAAGTGGAGGTCAAGTAGACAGCAGTCCAGAGCAGGGCTCAAAAGGTGGCCGGGACTTGCCGTGTTTCCACCCACCAGCAAGAATCCTGCAGCCGCCAGCTTTTGCCAGTGTGAAAATCCTGCAGCCACCATTTTTTGCTGGCGTGAGAAGCCTCCAGCCACCCCGGTTCTGTGGCTACTGCAGACTCATGCTGGCAAAGAGTGGCAGCTGCAGGCTTCTTGCACTGAAAGCGATAATAACTGAAGAACTTCAGTTCTTTCAGCCCATGGAAGGATAATTCAAGACACCTCCATCAGCCTGAATTTTCCCACATCCCTGTGCCCCAAATGTGGGCAACAGATTTGCTTCTTCCCAAAGCATTTTCTTACAAAATTACATATAATCAAACTATTTTACAATTAAAGCAGCAGTAGTTTATTGACAGTGTTGCTGACTGACAGGCACTCACTTGCTAGATAGACACACTGTAGTATCCTTGAGGAGGCAATGTAAGAAAGAACCTTGGTCTAAACCTACCCTATTTTTGCTTCATTGTTCAGGAGGCCTGGCAGATTCAATGCAAGGGCTGTCTTCGTACATTTTATCTTGCTGGCTTTGACTGTCTGGTGGCTTGATTTCCTGCTGCTTAGCAACATCTTGACCAGTAGGTGTAACAGAAAGCAATCCGATCTGAGGAATATCTACACTGGTTGCCTGTTGAAACCCTGTGGAAAAGAGCTGTTCTACTGCTGTCTCTGTGTTTCCATGGATAATCTGATGAGCAGCATGAATATGCTTTCTCTGAGCCTGCCTCACTGTTTTGAGAAAAAGAATGAAAAAAGAGAGAGAGAGAGACCAACAATGAGTTGGGAAAATTCAGTCCCCCTTTTTTCTGCCTGCTCCATAGAAAAATGCGGTAGACAGGTATCACTAAAAGCTAATTGCCAATAATTGTATAGAATTACAATTATTTCCTCAAGATGAAGGTCGGCACCAAGGACCAAAGAAAATCAAAGCTAACTTCATAACTTAAGGATTTCCAAAATCCTTGCACTTAGGCAAGAAAAAACAAATGCACAAATACAAAATAGGTGGTACTTGACTCAACAGTAGTGCCTGTGAAAGGGATTTAGGTGTCCTAGTGGACAACCACGTAAGTATGAGTCAGCAGTGCAGCTGCCAAAAAAACCAATGCAGTCCTAAGCTGCATCAACAGAGACAGATACCATCCAGATCATGAGAAGTGATAGGACCACTCTACACTGCACTGGTATTGAATATTGCATTCAATTCTGGGCACCACAATATAAAACAGATGCTGAGGTCCTAGAAAGAGTACAAGGAGAAGCAACAAAGATAAGGGGCCTGAAGGCTAAATATTATGATAAATGGTTAAGGCATGTTTAGCCTAATAAGACTTAACAGCAGTCTTCTAACACTTGAGGGGCTGTCCTAAAGAAGAGGGGGACGGATCCGTTCTTGATAGCACTTGGGGGCAGGACAAGAAGCAATGGGTGAAAATTCATCAAAGAGATCCAACCTGAAAGTAAGGAGAAATTTCCTGAAGATGGGAATAATTAATCAGTGGAATAGCTTGCCTCCTGAAATTGTGGGTGTTTCATTGCAGGGGTTTTTGAAATAATATGGGACAATCATTTGTCGGGGATGGAATAAGGACTCCTGCCTTGATCCAAATGATTTGTGCTTTGTACTGGCATAGAGCCTGGCTGTGTAATTGCACAGATGAAAAAAAAACTACATGATTTTAAGTGATAAACCCCATTACATAATTATTGGCAGACTGAACCCAACAGATTCTGTTGTCTTTGCCAAGTTTATTTTGGACAACATGGTATACCAAGGATAGAACTTACCTTTACTGCAGGTTTACTGATAATGTACTTACCTTGAATTAATTGTTCAGTAAAGCATTGCATAGCTGGATATAAGAACAAAGCAGCCAGAATTCAAATTAACAGCAAGAAGTAAAAAGGTGCTCTTTTTCTCACCTTTCTCCTTAATGGTCATTTTTCTCACTTCAGGGATCAGGAAGCTATAAACTAGCTCTGCCACAATCTCTTCAGATTGTAGATTACTCTGGCTATAGGGGGGAAAAATCAGATACGTGAAAATAGTTACATTTTTTAAAAGTTCTTTTCTCTTTCATACCAAAAGCATTAGTTATTCGTGTACTAATGAATGAGACAACCACACCATCTGGTCAAATAATGCAGGTAAAAGGGTCTGGAAAAAGAAATGTTCTTTGGTCCACAGTTATTTCAATCCTTTTTCAGGATCAGTAACATTTCATCTCCATGCACAATTATCAAAATGATAAAAAAAATATTGCTGCAGGAAAACAAAAGAAACGGAATTGCATCCTTTTTTTCCATGAAGGGAGTAGGAAGATCACTTTTAAAAAGTACATGTGATATCCTGTTAACTTCAAATCACACAAGGAGCGAGTTAATAGAACAGACAGGGGTGGGATTCAGATTTCTTAACAACTGGTTTGTGGGTATGGCCTAATTTGTAGGTGTGGCTTGGTGGTCATGTGACTGGCTGGGCATGGCTTGCAGACTGGGTATAGCTTGGTGGTCATGTGACTGGCTGGGCATGGCTTGTATGTGAATATTATAAATATGTAAATATTGATTTTTTTATTTTTTTAAAAGCAACTTTTTCCCAAAATCAGGCAAAGCAGATAGATTGAGTTGCTCACAGAATCACAGATTCATTCAGAGATGTATCTTTCTGCCATCGGCTATCTGAGTCTGTCACATAAAATTTGCTTGCAAACAAACTCATAAAATTAACTCACAACACGCTATGTATGTAAATATTGAATTTTTTATTTAAAAAGGAGCAAGTTTTACCCAAAATCAGGCAGAGCAGGCAGGCAGATTGAGTTACTCACAGAATCACAGTCACTTAGAGATCTGTGTGTTCTGCCATCTGCTACCTGAGTCTGCACTGAATAATAGAAGCTTCAGTCCTAGAAGGTTCACCTCTGCTTTTAGATTAGCTAGAAAGCAAGAAATCCATCAATGTCCTGCTTTCTAGCTAATCTAAATCTCCTGGCACAGCAGAACAGCTGATGGGCGGGGGGGGAGGAAAAATAGTAACTTAGCAGGCAAGTTTGATGGCCCACATGCCAGGTAAGGAGTGAGTGGGTGGGGCGGGGCCAGCCAGTGTCACGATTTGCTGGTTCTCCGGCAGGTAGAATCCCACCCCTCATAAGAGTGCATTTTGCACACGTGTGTAGACCATTTCCCAAAAAACTCAGCTGTGCCGCCTGGACAGCTGACAAGCACTGCGCGTGGGTGCACAGTGTTTCAAGCTCCTCTTCTTTCCTGCCTTTTCAACCTTAGCTGTGCCGCGCAAAGCAGCTGAGGTTGAAAAAGCAGGAAATAAAGGATAGCCAAGAGTCTGGGCAGGCAGCTGGGCCAAACAGAGCAGCAGACACCAAACCGGTTCGGTGTCTGCTGCTCTTCAAAGCTACTGGTTCTATAGAACCAGGCCAAACCGGTAGCATTCTACCCCTGAGAACAGACTATTTGAAAGTTCAGAAAAAACCTTTCAAAAAAGAAAAGAGAAATTGTTGAGCACAAATTCACCAAAAAGTCTGAAATTCAGAGGTTTTTGTTTGGAATACCTATATACTGCACAAACAGAGACAGACAAAATTTCCAAAACGTTCATTTTGTGTATTATAAAAACTATCTTATTATATGCAATTAGTTGGCTCTAGGCCAAAGGAGATCAGTCGTTATGGTGTCATAACCATTTTTGTTATGTTCACTTTATGAATGCTGCTATTTCCTAAGGAGCGCATACCGTGTTTCCATTTCATAAGCAATATTGTTGATTTCTACAGCCATTCTCTGAATCTCTTCCCTAGATTGTTCTTCAGCTGTACTCTCCATGCTGTTCAAGATAACATCTTCTAAATATGAATCAACTGTTTTTTGGTGTACTTTAACAACCTGAAAAAAACTCAAATCAGAATTTTTCTCCACTGCTGTAAGCATATTAGGAATAATTTATTTGGATCATTTTTCACTATTCTTTTCTTTTGGAATTGTCTTGCTTCTTTTATTCACTTTTTATAGTACACTTGGATAACAATCTACCAGATCAGACTCTTGTTCCTTTCAGTACTCTTTTAATGAATGCTTCTAGATCTAATTGTTTAAAAGTATACAACACCATTGCATCTCCAACATGTTCTGTATGGGATAGTAAATTCTGCCTTGAGTTAAGTTCTTGAAGATGTCAAGAATATGTTCATACAGAGTTTTTTGATAATAATACAATAAGGAGGATTGTATTGTCACTTTGGGGATATTTTTTTTTGCCTTCCCAGCCTAGCCAAGAGGTCTTCCCAGATGTCCTACATTCAACACTAACCCGTTGACAACTCTTATGCCTCTAAACGAAGTAAATCCTCCTTATTGATCTTACTAGTGTAATAGCACCTATTGGTCTTGTGTAAATAAGTAATTGTACTTTAATCATCCTCTCTGAATTCACTACTGTGATTAAATGCAGAGCGTGATCCAGATTAATCTGCCAATGAAGAGGCTAAAGAAACATTTAGTGGAAAACTGGATGATGTGAGATGAAGATGATAATACAATACTACTTCAGTTGTAAGCTATGTCTACTTTCAGCAGTTTGACTTTCTCCTTGTTTTCTTCACAGAAACATTATCTCTTCACATACTGGACACAGGTTTAAGGCATATTGTTGAGGTAATCTAAACAAATGCAATTGTGCCGTGACCTAGCTTAAACCCCCTTGAGCATATTTAATAGTATTTCCCACACTTGCCTGTCTAAAGATCTCATCCTCTTCACGTCTGCGTCTCTCTTCCACCTGTCGACGTCCACTTTCCTCTGCTTCCCGCATTCGGCGCTGCCTTTCTGCCAACATAGCAAAAGCATGGATTCTCCGCTCATCCTGTAGTCGAATCAGTTCTTTAGAGAGGAAATCCAACATATTTGCAAGGACTCTTCCTTCTACACGAGCCAAATGCTTTTCCATGACAGACATCTAAGGGGAGTACAGGAATATTTCATTCCTATTTAATTTGTTTATCATTTCAACAATTTTATCGGCTTTTCAGAGCTATGTTTAAAAAAACTTCTGCATTATACTAAAGTGTGAGTCATAAATCCATCAACATAATCTTTAATGAGATTGATATCCAAGCTTAGAATCTGACACCCTGAGAGGGGACTGAAATTATGTTATTTCTGATATTATGAAAATAATCAGGCTTTCCTGGGGCAATACAAGTCTTTACATATTTTAACATATAACAATTGGCTTCAAAATTTTCCTTAGAAATGCTGAATAATATAACAACAAAAAGGAGATACTGTACAATTTAGAGTAATGCTCTATGTTCTCTAATGATTTCTCAGCAACCATTATTTACCCAACTGGGCCACTAAAAGAAAATAACTGGGGAATTATACTGAGATGTTTAAACAATAGCTTCATTTTTTTCATTTTAATCTTTTAGTTTAGTTTTATTGCAGTTTTTACAAATATTTCATAGGCACTTGCTCTTTAATTCACTTAACAACTTTGAAGAAGAACATTAGTATATTTATTTTTAGTATTTCAGTTTTGATATTGCAGTGAACAGAACAAGTGATTTCCCCAGGATGTAAAATTATAGATTGAGGTACCATAGGAATGAACTTTCCTAACACTCATCATAGCTTTCTATTCTAATTAACACCAAAGACTGAAATTGATTGAAAACTCGGCTCTGAATACTGTATTCTTCCCTAGATGGGAAGATACCATCATCGGCTTCTGTTACATACATTTTTCAAAAATAATTAACTATAAAATCAATTTCCTCCATTTATAGCCAAACCTTATGTTCATGCAAATCCCGCTGCCGTTGTAAGGCCAAAGTCACTTGTTTTTCAGCCTTCTTCAACAACTGTCCATCTTCCTGAAGTGCATGTGTGGTTCGTAACTCACAAATCAATTCTAGACGCTTTTCCTTTCCTTCAAACATCTGTTTATAATATTGAGAACATGATTGATAAAATCATAGTGAATGACATCTTCCAAATTTGCTTAACTTTTTAAACAAATATTTATAATGAAAATATTTTAATGAAATGACAACAAAAATACATACATATATAAAATACAGCATTCTTATGGTTTCTATTCTATGTCAGCATACCCAGGATAGATAGAGTCTATGCAAGATCATGCAATACGGAATATTGGAATATTGGAATTCAACATTATGCAAGCACAAGCAACAGAACAAAGTCAAACTAGAGTCTTGGACTTCAAGAGAGCTAATTTCAATAAACTTAGAGAGAGCTTGGGAAGGATTCCATGGAGGTGAATCCTCAAGGGGAAAAACAACTCAAGAAGCTTGAGAAATTTTGAAAACTGAGATTATAAAAACTCAGTCGAGTACAATACCAATGAAGAAGAAAAAGCTCCCGAAAGAAATGAGCATGACTGCATAAAGAACTCTCTGATAAATTGAAAGACAAAAAGAACAAGTATAAAAAGTGGAAAGAGGGACACATAACTAAGGCAGAATATCACCAAAGAGCCTGCAAAGATGAAATGGGGAAAGCTAAGGCTCATAATAAACTAAAGAAAGAGCAAGAAAGAGAGCGGAAGAAAGAGAGAGAAAGAAAGAGCAGAAAGAGAGGAAGAGAGAAAGAGGAAGAAATAAGGAAGGGAGAGAAAGAAAGAAAGAGACAAAGAAAGAAAGAGCAAGAAAGGAAGGAAGGGAGAGAGAGAAAGAAAGAAAAAGAAATAGGAAGAAAGAAAGAAATAGGAAGGAAGGGGAGGGGGACAGAGAGAAAACTCTGTGCTATTATTTTTAATTGTTCCATTATTTATCATATATTAATATTTTACACTGTCCCTACACATAGAGTGATTTTACTGCTCTTCTTTTGCCCAGGTATTTTTCAGGGTTTACATGCCTATAGTCCAGAGCAGCGGTCGCCAACTGGTGGGCCACAGAGAAATTTCACCCCCAGAGCACCCTCCCCAAAGTAATTAATCCAGGCTGCGCAGAAACACAAGGCTACGCCCACATGGCCCGCAGGAACCCTCCCTGCCCACTCACTCCTTACCCGGTAAACTTGCCTGCTAAATTTCTATTTTTTCTTTTTCCAACCATCATCTCCTTTTAAGCACAGCTGAACGTCCCTTAGGACCGAAGGTTTGCTTGCAAGCAAATTCAGTGCAGATTCACAGTAAGCAAAGTTGAGAGACTGAGCTAGCCGATGGCAGATAGATAGATCACTGAATGATTCTGTGTGCAACTCAATCTGCCTGCTTTGCCTGATTTTGGGTAAAAGTTGCTCTTTTCTTAAATAAAAAATCAATATTTATATAAATATTTATAATATTCACCAAGCCACACTCACAAATTAGGCCATGCGCACAGAACCAGTTAACGGTCTGGGATCTAAAATTATGAGTTTGGTGGTCCCCGAGGTCCAAAAGGTTGGTGACCCCTGGTCCAGAGCATAAATACATGTGTGTTTAATAGAGCTGAAAGGGACTATGGAGGTCTTCTAGTCTAACCTCCTGCTCAGGCAGGAAAATGGAGGATGCCAAGTAGAGGTCCTGGGAAAGGTATCAGAATAACAGAATAACACTAGGGGAACCCTATACCATTTCAGAGAAATGGCTGTCCAGTCTTTTCTTAAAAACCTGCAGTGTTGGAGCACCCAGAACTTCTGGTGGCAAGCAGTTCCACTGGTTAATTGTTCTTACTGTCTCAACTGTCTACTATCTACTGTCAGGAAGTTTCTCCTTAGTCTTAGTTTGCTTCTCTCTTTGTTCAGTTTCCATCCATTGCTTGTTTTGCCTTCTGGTGCTTTGGAAAATACATGCCCCCCCCTTTCTGGCAGCTCCTTAAAAGCCTGTTGTTATCACACTCTTGAGCAAATTTCCTCCTTTCAGTGGTCCATGAAAGTAAGTTCATCTATGGTAGGTAGATAATAAGGTCAAAAAAAGGTGAACAACAGTTTTACAGAACTGTAGATAAGTTGAGGCTGGGTGTGACAAGGAATGGCAGGGAGGGGAGGAGCCAGGCGAGGCACTCCTTGACGTGAGTGACATTGAGTTGGTCATGGCCACCCAGTCACATGACCACCAAGCCACGCCCAGCCAGCAAGTCACACCTGTCCAGTCACATGACCACCATGCCACACCCACAAATTAAGCCACGTCCACAGAACCAGTTGTTAAGAAATTTGAATCCCACCCCTTAGCTTAGGGTTGAATGACTTGATGTTCTCTGAGCTTGGTTGTTTGCTTGCAGATATTTTATTACTCAACTAGTAACCTCATCAGTGCTAGTGATTGTGAGTTTGCTGCCTGCTTATGTATAGTAGCTTGCCTGTAGGAATATGATTTTCTCTTTTGTAATTCCTGATTAGGTTATTGTTTTCTGCTTGTTTGTCTAGTCTTAATTCTTGCTTATAGGATGTCCAGTTTCCCAGATGAACGATAGTTGAATCTGTCCATATGTTGTGAGGTTAAGCAATTTCACAGTGTCTTCTAGCTGCTAGTTGGTTTCATGGATGCACTCTTATTAGTCTTGTGCCTGTCTGTTCTACACAGTGGTTGATACAGTCACTGTCACCTCTTACACTGTATGTTGAAGATGACTTGTTTTTTTCTTCTTGGACTACTGGGTCATTTGATTTACTTAAGATATTTTGAGAGCTTTAATTGCTTTCTGTGCTATAGTAATGCCATGTAGTTGTAAGTCTGTTGTTTCTGATATGTTTTTTATTGTACGGCAGTATTAGTCTTAACATAGCTTGTAGGGTTTGATTAGTTAGGCAGCTTGGGTATTCATTTTGTTGGAAGATGTTGTATAGGTGGTCATTTTCCTTTTTCTGGGGTTCTGGGTGGTTGCAGTGCATTTGTAGTGGCTTGAATAATGTTCATGTCAACTCATAAAATATTTCTATGGTCTTTTTAGAGTTGCCAACAGAAAGGGAGGGGGAGCAGTGTGGCAGCTTGCAAACGGAAAGTGCATTCCATAAATAGTTTTCAAAGATAGTAAAAGATAGTAACTAGGTGACTGAAGTTTCTGCCGGGCAAAATTCTAACAGGAGAGCATGCTTGATGACTCTTGGCTATGGATGTGTCCAATACACCCAGGGGGTGGGGGAAAATCAGGGTCAAGCGTGACAATGAATTATGTGTCTCAGAGTTGGCTAGACCCAGGCAGTGCTTGACATTTTAACTCCCAATAAATCCTTTGGAAGTTTTGGAAGTTTGGTTCTAGACTCATGATTTAAATGGGGGTAACTGCTGGAATCCTGACAGCTCTTACAGTCCTGTTAAATTGTGGGATGATGGGGGATACATAAGATATAGTTTCATGAGAATATCTTAGTTGACCTAAACAATCTAGTATAGTTTATTGTTCCTTCAAAACAATTGAAAAGACATGATTCATATGGGTTAGGGTGCAGATGTAGATATTTTCTTTTTAAAATGATTTAATATGGTTTTATCACGAAGAGTACTCCACTCCTCTATTCACAATAGTATTCCCTATGCCTACAGGCTTGAAATTTTGGGCTTGGACTATCTGGAACTGCACTGCCTATGGTCCAATCTAAACATAGTTCACAAAATTGTCTGCTATAACATCTTGCCCGTCAACAACTTCTTCAGCTTCAATCACAATAATACATGGGCAAACAACCAATACGAACAAAGCTGATACAAACTCAATTGCAGAAAATACAACTTCTGCAACAGAGTGGTCAATGCCTGGAACACCCTACCCGATTCCGTTGTTACAGCTTCAACCCCTCACAACTTCAGCCTCAAACTGTCTACCGTGGACTTCACCCCATTCTTAAGACATCCTTAAAGGGGGCATGCATAAGCACACCAGAGTGCCTACCGTCCCTGTACTAATGTTCACATTTATCTGTATTTACTTCCTTTGTTCATGTTTATGTTCATACCTATACTTATTATCTTGTACATGTTTGACAAATAAATAAATAAATATAAACAGTTGGGAGACAAGATACAAATATTGACAGAATCTGTCATCAAGTTAATGGATGCCACAAAACAAAACTTACCATGTTTTGGATAGCTCTGCCTCGTATTAATTTCTGTACTATAATTATAGCCAATTCTCTCTCTTCATCTATCTGCAAAAGAAAACAAAAGCATTGGGAAATATGGCTATAAGCTAAAACATCTGTTTTCAAGGATTATGCCATGTCTAATTCTGGATAAACTAAGTTGGTACATTTTACTAAGAGATTTGCTTATTGTTTTTGGCTACAGTATGCTGCCCAAATTCTTACTGGCATAAGATATGAAGAGAAACAATTAGTGTGACAAGTGAAGGTGAGAAAGAAAAACAATAACTACATAAGGAAAAGTAATACAATTAAGAGTAATAAACTAAAGCAGCAGATAAGGAGATATGAGCCAATCAACTATCAGATACTCTAGTAAGTCAAAACAAGCAACTGCTATCAGCTGCTGTTCGCTGCCTCTCCCTAAACTGCTGTCCTAATTGGCTCAATGTACTGTCTCAATGTTCCAGTGTAAATCGTAAGGCCAAATGTGTTGGTTGCAGCAAACAGCACACTCCTAGAGTGAAAGCTGGCTTCCTTGTGTGGTAGTAGAAGACAGCTGACTGTCAGGTAGGATGATTTGTAAAGAGACCCTCACCAAGTAAATAAACAAGGTGCCCTCAGCAAAGAAACAAAAAAATCCTGTCTGTAATAGGGAGTAAAATGATCCTTAAGGAAACTGAAGGCTGACCTTTCTAAGCGAAGATATAACTCTAAGATATATCATACCTTATCCCCACCTCTCCATTTCAATTGATAATACAAGAATGGAACCTGGATTCCTTTTGGCAAATAAAGCCTTTAAAAACCAAGTCCTTCATTAATCACTATTTTTTCAATTTTATATTCATAAGATCTCTTTCAAGATACAGCTTTCCTTATCCATTCAACACTCTCTCTGACCCTCAATCTACATAGATAACAATTTGTATGCATGTTTTTCTTTTTTGCATGTTGAATGTGAATGAATAGACTAATGTTGGCACTGGAATAATCTGTAATTTCACTCTTCAAATTTATCATGTTATAGATTATGACAAACCGGATTGTTTCATTACAGCCTTTTGACTAAAATAATAATTAACAAAACTGGTTGCTCAGTACTCATTGTGTTAAAAAAAAATCTTTATTTTTCTTCTCAATCTAGGAAAGAGAAAACAAAGCATATTTTTCAAGTTCTTCTGTTTCTGATTGGAAAAGTATTGCCGATTTCTTGAAATGCTTGGTTTTGCTTTCTTTTATTTGCAAAATTTCCAAAGAAAACAAAAAAGTCTTTCATGTTCCAATAAATCAGAGAAGAACTGGGTGACTTCTCTCTGGTCCCTGTTTCTTTTTCCAAAATAAGCCAAGTCAGTTTCCAAAAGTGTGTAGATAAGGGCAAGTAATACATTTTCATTTTTCCTGACTGATCATAAATAAATAACCTTTTCTCTATTATGTCCTTTTTCTTACATTTCTCCCATGAGCCCATTATCTGCAATTGCCACTTCTCCTTTTTCTTAAACTTGCTGTATCGATTTGTCTCTCTCTATTTCTAAACTAGGAAACTGATCATTGCAGGCTAAGTTTTTAGGCTATTAACTGCTTTAGATCCCTCTTAGTTTAAAGTATTGAATATCAATTGATTATTTGATTGCTTGTAAATCATTACCCTCAAATATTATTTATATTTATATTGATTGCTTTTTAATTAGTTTTATTTGTGGATTTCAAAAACATATTTTTGTTGAATAAACTACAGGGTGAGGACCCAACAGTTTGTTACTGTGCAGAAATGTTAATAAGGGAGTTGCAGGCTTCCTGTCACCAATAAACATATTATGGTAGATAGCAAAAATGAAATACTATCAGAGCAGTGGGATAGAGGACAGAGAAGATTCTCTCAGATCCAGTTAGTAAAAGCTCTTGTTCCATGAAGAGTGAAGCTTCTGTTTGCGCTTTAATTTGCAGTTGGTACCTAAATTACCCTAAAAGCTAAATCCTGCCTTACTCATGAAAGCCAGCTGAGTGACTTTGGGCCAGTCATTCTCTCTCAGCCCAAAGCACCTCACAAGGTTGCTGTTGTGGGGAAAATAGGAAAAGTGTGTTGGATATGTTTGCTGCCTTGAGTTATTTGTAGAAATGATAAATATGGGATGCAAATAAATAAAAAATAATTAGCCAAATAGTGACTAACAACAACAATAACTTTATTGTCATTGTACATATGTACAATGAAATTGATTTTGCTTCTGCTGGCGCTAACCATAACAAAAATACAACATGAATAATATAGAAAATGGATCTTATACAACTAATTAGGGAAAAACCCATCATATGTTTCCATATATGCATGGAGTGATTGTAGTTGTATTTAGGAGTCTGGCAGCCCATGTTTTTAAACCTGTTTGTCCGGCTGGCTATACTTCTGTGTCTTCTGCCTGATGGTAAAAGTGAGAAAAGGCACTGACCAGGATGTGAATCGTTCCTAAGTATCTTCCTTATTCTGCTGAAATGAGGCCTGGCGATCTCATCTAGTGGTGTTAAGGGTCAACCAATGGTTTTTTGTGTCGAATTAATTACTCTCTGTAGTGCCTTCCTGCCCACAGCTATTGAACCAGCGTACCATACTGTTATACAGTATGTAAGGATACTTTCTATCGTAGACTGATAGAAAGAGGTCATCAGCCGTTGTTCCACCTGATTTTTCCACAGGACTCTAAAGAAATGGAAGTCTCTGTTGAGCCTTCCTAACCACCAGGGACGTGTTATTTTTCCAGGTGAGGTCTTGACTAATAAGCACTCCCAAGAATTTAAAAGAGGAAACCCTCTCCATGCAGCCCCCCTTGATATAAAGTGGGCAGGTTCCTCTCTGTGCTTCTGGAAATCCAGCACCATCTCCTTTGTCTTGTAGTGTTTAAAAGTAAATTGTTTTTTAAACACTATGTGGACAGCTTCTGGACTTCTTCCCTGTATGCTGATTTGTTCCCTCCAGTTATAAGACCCAGCAGCATTGCAAACTTTGTTATGATGTTGGATGGATCAGAGGATATGCAGTCATGTGTATACAGCGAGTATAGGTAGGGGCTGAGCACACAGCCCTGAGGGGAGCCTGTGCTGAGCTTCAGGGTGGAGGATGTAAAGGACCCAACCTTTACTATTTGTGGATGATCCTTCAGGAAGTTTTTAATCCAATCACAAGTGAGGGGAGGGAAATTCAGGTCATTCAGCTTTTCAGTGAGGAAGCCTGGTAAGATGGTATTAAAGACCAAGCTATAGTCTATAAAAAGCATTCTGACATAATTATCAAGGTGTCTCAGTGTAGTATGTAGAGCAGTGACGATGGCATCCTCTATCGACCTGTTGCTTCTATAAGCAAACTGATATTGATTGAAATTCAATGGAAGACAGGACCTGAGGTTTTTGTAAGACCAGTCTCTCAAAGCACTTCATTACTATAGATGTCAGTGCAATGGGGTCTATAGTCATTCAGGCTGTTTATAGCTGCTTTCTTCAGAACCGGAACTGACTGCTTTCAAGCATGATGGAACTCTAGCCAATTGTAGGGAGATGTTAAAGATTCTTGTCAGGACCCCTATTAACCTGCAGCGCAGGTTTTTAACCACTATCCCCAGCACCCTGACTGGACCTGCAGCTTTGCTGGGATTTACGGCCTTCACACAGCTCTCACTTGATGTTCATGCAAGGTGAGTGGCTGGAAATTAGAGGGCCTTTGGGCTAGAGCCACAGAGACAGGTCTATTATCCTCTGCGCGAAGAAGCTATTCTGCTCCTCCACCAGCATGGCATCAACTTTGGCTGTTTTTATCGTATTGCCCTTGTAATTGGTTAGATGTTGTAGCCCCTGCCACACCTGTCCTGAGTTTTCATCTGCCAGATGCTTCTCTCCCTTTTGTTTATATTTCTGTTGAGCTGCCTTGATGCCTCTCCTAAAGTTTGCCCTGGCCTTGTTGTATTCGTCTTTGTTTCCTGCCTTGAAGGTGGAGTTGCGGGTTCTCAGGAGTGATTGTACCTCTGCTGACATCCAGGATTTATGGTAACTGTAAACTCTGATGCTCTTATTCACTGTTACATTGTCTGTGTATGTTGTAATATATGAGAGAACAGCATCAGTGTATTCTTGCAGCTCAAAATGTTTGAATATGCTCCACTTGGTAGTCTCAAATAAAACAATAAAAAGAAAAACTTAAAATTGTCTTTAGGAAGTACATATTGGAATTAAAATTAAAAAAGAATCAGAGTAATAATAAATGTAACAGTAAGTGGTGATCTGAATGGAGGAAAGTCAGCATTAAAGGAGATTGTGAAGAAAAAGAGGCAGCAATAAAAGAAGCATAAATATAAGAAAGTAACCTAGATTTCATTCGGAAGCTCACTGATTTGGGGATTCTATTATCTGACTCTTGGTGTTCTGCAACTCCCCTATGGACCAACCCGACTTTTTTGGTTTGAACATCCTGTCATCCTTACATGAGAAATGCATACTCTCTGGCTTTTTTGTGATCATCTTTTGTACATGTATTTCTGTTCCACCCCCACCTCACTTCATCTGTGCTACTGGTGTTTTATCTTTCCTTGTCAATCTGAGTTTATATCTGATGTGAAACCTGATGATGATCTCACGTATGTTCTTCTAACCTGCATCCATATGCAATAATAGGTTCCACCTATAAATGATTTTAGAACTAAGCCAAGCTTTTACAATCAACACTACACCTCAGCCAGTCATGAAAACAGTTAAAATCTGGCCAGAGGGTGCTCTCAGTCAGCTGCAGGACTGTTTTTAAACCACTGAGTGGAGTATATTTGAACATCAAGACCTGCATGAATACACTGATATGCTGTACTCTCTTACATCAAAGTATGCACTGACAGTGTAGCAAAGGACAAGTGCATCGCAGTCTAGGGGAATAGTAAACCCTAGATGACTGCTGAGGTACAGACGTTTCTGGGAGCCCAGGATTCTGCCTTTAAGGCAGGGAGCAGGGATATATAGAGAGAGGCCAGGGCAAATCTTAGAAGACGCATTAAGATGCCAAATCAACAATACAAATATAAGATGGAGAA